TGGACCTCCTCTGAAGGATATTTTGGGTAATCTCAAGAGGCCATCCTTGAGAAGCCATCTGGGACCTTCTTGAGAGTTCATCTTGGGTTTCCTTTAGAAGCCATCTGTGACCTAATGTGGAGGTTATCTTAGCCCTCCTCGAGGTCCTCATCTAGGTCTTCCTCCAGTCTAGGGTTTTATTGGTAGGACTTCTGGGACTGACTTCAGTGGAAATATGGGGCTTCTTTGAGAGGCTATTTGGGGCCTCTCCCAGGCCTACCTGGGAATTCCTCTGGAGGTGATTTGGGGTCCCTGTAGAGTCGAATTGGGAATTCCTCCACTGGTCATCTAGGCACTTAAGTGAGAAGGCATCTGGGAGCTCTTCCATGGGTCAGGTTAGGCCTGCTCAACAGGTCATCTCAGATGTCCCCAGTACATTAATAGAAACCTCATCATGAGGCCATCTGGGACCTCCTCTGGAGGTCAACTTGAGACTTCAAGAGGTCACCTGGAGGGTCCTTTAAAGCCATCTGAGACCTCTTTGAGTGGTCTTTTGTAGCCTCCTTGAAAGTCCATCTGGAACCTCTCCAGATGTCATCTAGATTCTCCTCAGTAGCCCTTATGGGATCTCCTCCAGAGGTCATCTTATACCTCCTCAAGAGGGCATCACTGAGAGATATGGGACATGTGGTTTTAGGGTTTATGGCTATTTTTGTGTGTTGATAGTTCTGTTTCCTGTATATACCTCTGCTTACTCCTTTTTTTTCCAGGATGGGAGTACAAAATGTTAAAGATCCTGTAACTGAAATATCTTCCTTCTGGTGCTATAGGATCCCCCAGAAAAAGACACATCCTCCTAATCTGTGCCATCAGCATCTCTGATGTTCAGTCCCTCCATACCAGAATTAGTTTCTTGAACCAGCCTGAGGTGGTACACAACAGGCACACTGGGGAGATGGTGGGCAAACCAACTTTCTAATACATGTTGCCTTTAAAATTAGTGTCATGTATAAGGGGAAATAGCAAAATCCGTCCTTTTCTGAAAAAGCCCAGGGCCTTATCTCTTTACATCAGCTCACCTGGGATGACTGAGGGCAACTTTTATAACTGCTTTCCAACTGGGAGGAAGGGAGCGAATCTGGCAAAGTGGCTTGAAAGTGGTCCTTGCCCCCACTGAATCCACTTTCCTATTGGAGCAAATCTTTTCCCAAACTCAACCAAGCTGGGAGTAGAACAGCAATCAAGGTAAGGATGTGCTTAGCAATATTGCAAGCCTGTTAACAGGGTAAGGGCAGCGGCTAGGAGGCCAACTATTTGAATTAAGATGAATGAGATTATAGTTCCCCAATGAATCCCTAAATACTTTTCTGGAAAGCCTCCAAGAGGCCTATAGGAACTATATGCCTATAGATCCTGAGGCCCAGGATAATTGAAGAGCCCTAAATATGGCTTTCACTACACCGTCGGCCCAGATATTAGGAAAAAAGCTTCACAATTTAGAAGAATTTGAGAAAAGGTATTATTTGAGTTGGTAGCAGTTGCCCATCCGGTGTTGCATAACAGTTATACAGTGGAAGACAAAACAGTCTAAGAAAGGGTTTCACATAGCAGCACCAGGACAGGGATCAAGAGACTCAGGGTAAAGACAGTTTAATTCATTTGCAAATATCAACAGGGAAGCTCTAGGACTAGATCTGTGTGCTTACTGGAAATAAACAGCAAGGGAAAAAGGAAATTCCAAGGAAGAGAAGGATTAAAAATTACATGTTGAATAGGCAGGTTGCCACTGGCAAACTGTGATTATATCACCTGAGAACAAGGCAAATGAGCTCGGGAGTCTGAAATCCAACTGTGGCAACTTAAAAACCAGCCCACTAAACTTAAGAATAAATGTGGTGATGAAAATTTGAGACATTTCTGTTTGAAAACACAGGCTAAAAAATATTCTAAATCTCAAATACATGCCAATCAAAACCCACAAATAGATTAAAAGTGCATTAAGTGCATTAAACAGCACAGTGGAGAAAACAAAGAATTATCAGATGTGAAGACAAGATTTGAAGACATAAATCATAAAATTGTGAGTCAAAAATAAAACAAAAATTCACAAAATGAAACAGAGAGAAACCCAGAATCAAATGAAATCGAAGTACACAAATCCACAAATCCACAGGTCACAGGCTGAGGAAGAGAAGGACAAAAATGCTTCCATCCTTGCTGACTACAAGCAAGGCAGGGAGAAGATCCTGACACTGTACTTGAAGTCAAGGACAGGTAAAAGGAGCTGGTCATGATAAAAAAGTGCATTAAACTTTTAACTTTGAAGGGTGTGAGCAAAAATTCAAAGCACCAGAGGAAGAACTGAAAGGCCAGTTAGAAGAATAGACCCAAAATTTTTGTGTCATTGAGAAGAGGCCAAGAAAACTAAGCAGAATAGTAAATGGGTCAAAATACGGATTGTTACTCTTTAGAAAGAGTCAAGAACACTCATATTTTGATGGGAAATACCCGGGAAAAACAGCATTAGGCACAAAAATACAAGAGTTAAACAATTGAAAGACTTGTTATAAAAATACGAGGAAGTGTAAATCAAGAAAGAGGAACTACTAGAGGAAAACCCAAAGACAATGACAAGGTCCTCACAATAAATGTAATGCAGAAGTAGCATGTCCCAATGAAGCAGATAGTGGTGAAAAAAAAACCCTCTCAATAGCTCCACTGTGAATTGAACGGAGGAGATGAAGAGCAAGCAAAGGGGCTGCTGAAAGAGCAGCAGTTGAAAAGTCAAAGGAACTTTCCTGTGACCCTGGCAGAACACTTGCAAGGTCAGGAGGAATTTAAAAAGCAGAATGGGAACATAAAAGCAAGCTTTAAAGAGTGAAAAGGAGGAGGATAAATGGAAGAAGTCTCCAACCTCCAAACAGGTTCAGACTAATAAAAAGGAGTTAAAGAATCTAGAGAACACGTAGGTGCAGGGAAACAACTGAGCTGATCAGGTAGTTCAGGAGACCACTCTAAAATCCGGGTGTTTCTAGAGCTACAACTCGTTAAGATTAAAGAATGAAGCAAAAAAGAGTGGTAAAAAGTGTGTAAATGTGGATACTGATCTTGTGAAAAGAATTACATGCTCAAACCTTCTGTCTGTATCTGGTTATTTGACATGCTGGAAATTTTCCACCAGCCACTGCCAAAACTATCTTGAAAATCATTGGGGCCGCTGTCTGACAAAGTTGCATATAGAAAGTTTCCAACAGGTAAATTCTGGAAAGCTCCAACATGTAGTTCTCAGAAGGAACTTCAAGTAACTATCTGATCATGATGTCACATCACCAATTATATATCACAGTGTTGATGAGGTCCCAGTGGATTTGGGATGTCACAATGAGCTTGTAATATCACAATGATATGTCCGACTTCAGTTGCTACTAGTTCACAATGAATTCAATGTTCAAAATGTTCAAGGAAGGAGTATGATATCTAAAATATGAGGTCATGATGAAGTATGGAGGTCAGTCTGGCCATCACCTTATTGGCCACATGGTTGATTGTGGGGTCTACCATTTTGGTTTCATGCTGGGGGAAGAAAACCCCCTGCATATCACCTAACTCCAAGGTAATGTGCATGACCATATCCCTGGAGACAGGTGTGGGTACTTGGCTGGTAGGTAACTGAATTTGATTGGACTGGGAATTTCGTGATGATCTGAACTCTGCACCGACCTACTCAGGTCTGAACCAGCTTAGACATCATTATGTCATGCCAATTGTCTCACTTATCTTGCCCTGTATCTTGTCTCCTGGCTAAGCTTCGGTCATCATTGCAGCCCAATTAAGCTATCCATAATATTGTTTGCATGGTTTTTGTTTTTTATTTCTCTTTAGCATGTTTCCTAGCTGTATTACTTTTATTTGCTTGCTGTCGGTCTTTGTAACAATTGGCTACCTGCAACCTGTAAGTTCTGTTATAAATGTTACAATATACTATATTACAAAATGAGGCTTCTGGAATGATTTCCCTTACAGCAATTAAAGTGTTCAGAAAACACTATGGGACAGTGATATCACAATGAAAATGTGGTCAAAATATCATGTCATAATAATGTTTTGAAGTCACCATTAGCTCTTGATGCTTACTGTGATGAGATCACAGTAGGTTTGAGATGTCACAAAGAGGTATGGACATCAAAATGGTATACAGGATCACAATTTTCACTAACTCATAATGAATATATGAGTTCACAGAAGAACTGTGATGTCTCTAATGTAGGTATTGTGAAAAATGTGATGAAGTGCTAGCAGGTTTCTGATTTCACTATGTGTCAGAATGGTCATGACATCTGGCAGTGTGATGTCAGAGTGGCCTTGATATCACAGAAGATGTCTTTTTTAACATGTCATTTCTGAAATATTATCAGTTTGAAAACAAATTATTGGCTCACAAATTGAAAACAAATTATTAGCCTAAAGTATCACATGGCAAAGAAAGGTTGTGAAGAAGACAGGTTTGTGATGGCACAGTGGGTTACTGATATCATTATGCCCATGTGATGTCACAATGGTGATTAGTTCACAATGGGTTTCTGTTAACACACATGCCACATTTGGACTGGGAATTTCGTGATGATCTGAACTCTGCACCGACCTACTTAGGTCTGAACCAGCTTAGACATCATTATGTCATGCAGAATAGGCATTTACAATGTGGCTATGATGTCACAATGCAATAAGATGTCATAGGGTGTGATATGATTGTAAGTTTTGTGATATCACAATGATCTGATGCTATCATAAGGACAATGTGAGACAGTTGTTGTCACAAAAGATTTTGATGTTATAATGGCTGGTTGAATCTCAATTGTCTGTAATTCACAATGAATATATGGGTATACTAGAGACTATTGTGTCACAAAGGACATGTGTTTTTTAGAAGTGCTTTGTGGTCCTAATAGTTTTAATCAACATCTCTCATAGAAAAAAGTTTTATTGTTTCAATGCAAAGTCCAAGACTTTAGACTCACATGATGTACCATAATATTAAAGAGAGCTTGGTCAGATGTGAAAAATACACGCAGCTTGGTTATGGAGACAGACCTGAGCTCTCAAAATTGTCCTTAGCAGTAGCTACAGCAGCTGCTACCATTGCCACCTCATCAACAAATACAGCCCAGAACACAGTCACCAAAAGTGGTGTGTGTGCAGATTATAGTCACCACCAGCAAAAACTGACAAGGAGCAAACATCTTCATCCTGCTCACCACAGACATTTGCAGACCATAGATGGCCTGGAAACCCATGGAAAGATGTGAGTACCACACAAGGAAGACTTTCTTAATCCTTTCCACAGAGCAAGAGTGAGAAAGTAGATACTCCCCAACCACAGGAGGAGAAATCCACCTTGATACTGACAAGGACATGGCAGAACACCCGATACTAAGACCTTTGAAGAAACCAGTATGAGCCATTTAACAGATCAAAGGAAACTGACATGTCAGATTCAGATCCAGGCAAGGAGAAAGATATACTTTCCAGGCAGAGGAATCTCTGCCCGTAGATGACTGACTTTCATCACTGGATAAGAGGCTATCCCACCACAATGTAGCACAGTAAGTAGACCTAGATGCCTGAGAGTAAAAGAAAAAAAAATTGGAAAGTCTAAATAAAAATCCTGAAAATGGCTCCAGGCTGGGCTCTATGAGTGTCTCAGGAGCTAGCCCTCAGGGAAAAACTATACATTCTGACAGGCCTCAACAATTACCCTGAGCCTAGCGCCATCAGAGCAACCCCAAGCTAGAAGAAACAGCCATCTCTCTCTTTTGTGATACTCAAAGGAAATCACCATTCCATTGCACTAACCTGGGAAGGTGTTATAAAATCTCTAGTAAGGAAGAGTTTGTTTTGCCTGCTGAAACAAACTGATTTAAGAAATCAATGAAGCCTCAGGAAAATCAAAAACTGTAAGCAAACCAGAGCACCAATAAACTGGTTAAGGTCTCAGGGGAGATAGAATATCCTGCCCCCCCCCCCAAAAAAAATGGAAGAACACTTTTGTCCATCTATTTTTAGAATTTTTAAAAAATTGTTTTCTAATTTTTCATCATTTCTAGTTTTTTATTGTTTTTATTTTTTTATCTTGGTACTTTTGTGCTTCCTTTGCTATATTTAATAGCTGTTCAATTCATCTTCAGATATATATCCATATGCAATTATTTGACCTTATTCTTAATTGTGCACATACTAATTAATGTATTGATTACTTAATTCACAAACATTCATTAACTCCCTCAGTTGTACTATTCCTTTATACATTTTAAGTGTTTCATTTTAAAATGTTTCCTTTTTCCTTTTTCCTTCTCCTGTATCTCCCTTCTCCTTTACTTCTATCCATTACCTCTCTCAGCATTTAGGTATTGTGTTTTCTTTCTCCCTTTCCATCCCCATATGTCTCTAATTTTATTTTCTCCTCACAATTCTCCCTGAACTTACTAATTTCTGGTCCTCTGACTTCTTCTTTGATTTTCTTAGTCTTTGTATCCCTAGTTGTTTGTTGGGAACTAGATTGTATCTAATGAACTGGATTGTATATGTCCTTAGTTTGACTGTGTTAAACAATTTGTGCAACTATAGAGCTTAGTTTGATGATTTCCTAAAGCAGTTTGCTAGCACAGTATTGGTTTGCCTTCATACAAAATTTGGCAGAACACGGTGGAGAAAGACAAGAAAAATGGTATGGCCAGGTATCTCTACTCCCACTAACAATGAGTGGGAGTCCTTATATTGGGGTTCATTTCGCCTAACATCAACTTATCTGACCGTTTCAGCTTGTTTCAGAAGTATACTAGTTAATGCAAATAAGGAAAACCATGAGACCTATTTTTCTTTGAGCCTGGCTTGCTTCACTTAATATAATTTTTTCCAAGTTCTTCTATTTCCTAACAAATGTGGCAATGGCATTCTTTCTGAGGGAGGCAGAGAATTCCATTGTGTCTATATTTCACATTTTCTTGATCCATTCATCTATTAAGGGGCATCTGAGGTGGTTCTATATCGTAGTTATCATAAATAATGCTGTAATAAAAATAGTTGTGCTAGTAACTTTAATATGGTCTTGGTCTTGTTTGTGATTCTTCAGGTAAATGCCCAAAAGTGGGATTGCTGGGTCAAGGGAGGTCTATATGGAGGCTTTTGTGGAACCTCCAGTACTACTTTCCAAATTGGTTGAACAAATTTACAAGTCAAGCTCTCAAATATTTTTTCTAATATATTTATGATTTTTTTGTTGATTTGCCTGCCGCCCTCATTGAAAAACCCCTGTTTTCATTGTATTTGTTCAGGGGAAGGGGAAAACCAATTGTTTAAACAGGGATACAGGTGGACCCATTGCAACAATGAAATGTACAAGACCTAATGTTGAAAAACGAATTTTAAAACATTAGTGCAGAAGTGGTGGTGGGATAGGAAAATATGGGAAGATGAAACAAAGGAGGAGGCAATAATGAGTGATAAGAAATATAATCATTAATTGCTTATGTAATTTTAACCCCTCTGTATAATATTTTCACAATAAAAATAATTTAATAAATAAATATAATAATCCAGAGAAGAATTCCCCAAATCCTCTACAAACACTACTGATACATATGTTGAATGAAAAGTTTGAAAGACTGCAAAAGACTCTAGGTGAACGTGATAGGAAAATGCAAGAGCATGATGAGGCCAAGGAAAGAATAATACAAGAGTTAATGAGCCTGAGAGGCTGATCAAAGAGTAATTGAGGAATTGCATGAGCAAGATGAGAAAAAAAATGATTAATAGATGCATTAATGGAATCCATAAACAGAAAGTTTGGGCAATCCCTAGAGGCTACAAAGGAAATGCTGGGTGAAGCCCAATGAAAGGAAAGTTTGTCCAATTAACTTATAACCAATCAAGAGATTTTAGAGTACATACTGAAAACAATATTAAGAAGATAAAGAAGTCCATACAAGACGTAAAACAAAGCTCCAACAAAGAATCTGAAGCCATCAAATCTGACCAATTAGAAGAAAAGGAAATCAGAATTCAATAAAAAAAAGCCTAGAGAGTAGGTTAGTTTGTGAAGGGGATTCATTCTCTGGGACTGAAGACAGCCTTGACACTATAAAAAAAAGTACAAATCTAAGAAATATGATAGATCTATTCAATAGTTAGAAGAGACCACTAAAAGGCCTAATTTAAAGCTAATGGTTGTAGAGGAAGGCTAAGAGAAGTGAAACATCTAGGACATTTATTTAACAGGATCCTAGCAGAGAACTTCCCAAACATGCAAAATGATAGGTCCATTAAACACAAGAAGACTTTAGAACACCAGATAGAACAGACCAGAATTGAACATCCCTCTGTCACATTGTAATCCACACAGGATGAATTGAGACAAAGGAAAGGCTGATTAAAGCTTTCAGGGAGAAAAATTAATCACCTATAAATGGAAACCAATCAGAATAATTTCAGAATTCTCAGCAGAGTCAATGAAAGTAAAAGTGGCTCAGGCTCTGGGTTTGATTCCCTAGCACCACATAAACAAAAAGAAAAATACTGGAAGGGGCCCTGTGGCTCAAGTGGTAGAGCACTAGCCTTGAGCTGAAGAGCTGAGAGACAGTGCCAAGGCCCAGAATTCAGCCACCATAAACAGGTGGGAGTTGAAATCCAAATGTCAGGTACAAGGGACTTCAAGTTAAAATTAGCAAGAAGAGATAAAGAATATCATCACATATTCATTAAGGGATCTCGCCTTCAGAAGTATATTACAATTTGAAATATCTGTTCCCCAAAAAACAGAGGACCCAAATTAATCCAAGGAACACTACTTGCCCTAAAATCTCATATAAATTGAAAGACATTAATTATTGGGGACTTTAAATCACCAGTATCCTAGCTGGATAGAACAACACAGCAAAACTCAAGAGAGAAACCTCAGATATAAAGAACTGCATAGCTCAACTAGACTTAACAGACATGTACAGAATAAAACACCCATCAGCATCTGAATACATATTCTTCTCAGCAGCTCATGGAACATTCTCCAAAATAGATCACATTTTAGGTTACAAAGAAAATTTGCCCAGATTCAGAGAGATGGAAATTATCCCCTGCATTCTCTCAAACCACAATAAGAATTCAACACCAAAAGCCACCCAAGAAAATCCTGTAACACATGAAGGCTGAACAACACCTTCTTGAACCACCAGTCGGTCATGGAACACATTATAATGGACATTTAAATGCTCATGATATTTAACAAAAATGAACACACAAATTACCAGCTCCTCTGGGACACAGCAAAGCTAGTACTCAGATGCAAGTGTATTGCTGAGTCCATATACCAACAAAGTGGAGAGATTTGAAAACCAATAATTTGACAATTCTGCCAAGGGCTATCTACAAATTTAAGGCCTATCAATGTTTCCACATCATTCATCAATGAAATAGAAGAAGCAATCCCCAAATTCACATGCAACACTGAATAACAAAAGCAATCTTTTGCAGAAATAACAGTGCTGGGAGAATATCAATACAAAGTTTCAAATTCCAATACAAAGCTATAGTAATCAAAGCAGCTTTTTTCCTGGCACAAGAATAGACCTGAGGTACAATGCTATTGAACTGAAGACCCAGAAATGAACCCCCAGAACTGTAGCTGCCTAAACTTGTATTAGGGAGCTAAAACAATATAATGGATGAAAGACAGCCTCTTCTGTAAATGCTGCTTTCCAAATTTAGTAAACAAAAAACCTGAACCTAAATTCTCATATATCACCCTGTACCAGAATCAACTCCAAATGGATCAAAGACTTCACCATGAAAGCAGACACATGAAAACATTAGAGGAAGGAATAGGAGTTATTCTAGGGTTCCTTGACAATGGACAAATTTTTCTGAAGAAAGACCCAGAAACACAAATACTCAAAGAAAAGGTTGGACAAAAGGGATTTCGTGCAACAGCATACTTCTGCAGGGGAAAGTACATAGCTACCAAAATCAAAGGAAAGCCCAGAGATTGTGAACAAATCTTCATTACCCATCCAACAGACAAGGATCTCTTACCTAAAATATAATTAGAACTCACAAAATTGAACCCAACACCAACAAATTCTCAAAGAAACAGCCGCCCCACTAATAAATGGGTTAAAGACTTGCAGAGAAACTATAACAAGTGAGAAAAAACCACTTGTTTCGCTACCTTGGTGTTGATTTCACTTAAAATCATCTTATCTGGTCAATATGTACATAGCATTTGACTTTTTCTGCTTGCTCAGACATATACCA